TGACTCTTGCACTGGGATTTCCAAATACTTGAGATTCTGTAATTTCCTTAAACGAAATATGGTACAACTTGGAGTTTGGGCTTGAGGCACAGGCCTCATTCGCCTGACCTCAAGACTGGCTCTGGACAACGTTATCTGCTCTCTTTACTAGCAAGGCATTAACTGTGACTAAGACATCAAATCTAAAAAATCATGGCAAAAACATGCAATGAAAGTTTATTTCAATGCAAGATAATATTTTATTTTCTCAGAAAATGTCTTCGACTTTATGAAATTTTAATATAAAATTTTTATCTCCAATTACAATTGTTTAAATATTTCTGAAAAAGAAATTCACAATCTCAAACTATATAGTACATACATAATAGAAATATTTTGTCTATAGCAACAAAAATCCTTGGAAAATTAAAATGGAGGGGTAATTTTCCTATTGCGAATGTGGCTAAAATTTGGTCTCATTTTAACTTCTTTGATGATAAAAAAATTATTTATGGATTAAATTCTAAAAATGGAGTTTTCAACACTTTAAACAAGATTTTAATTTGGAGATAGGTTACAAAACTCTTCTTTTATATAATTTAATTTGCATCTAGGTTATACTGTATTTCATAAATATACTCACAGCACTTATCGACGCACATAAGTTTTCGAATTCAGTAAGTTTTCAATCTTTTGTTATTGTTATTTTACTTAAATTTTGGTATCAAAACAAACTCTGTAACACGTTGTTTGACTGATGAAACTAATTGGTATTTCATAATATTAATTTGCTTAATCTAACTCTTACTAATATAACTTTAATTACATTTGTATGTGTATTTCCTATGCAATTGGATATTTAGGCACAAGTGGCATATTGTACATTTGCCATGGTATTTAGGAGGTATCTAGGAGCACTACAACAAATATACCTTTTTGCAGCACATAAAAAGCCACATTAAAGAATGTTGCAAAAATGTGTCTACTGCAACGTTGGAATATGTAAATGCTGCCATTAGTTAAAATAATTGAGATTTGACAATATTTTTAAATCTTTGTTGCTAATGTCACCTTTTTGCAACATTTATTTAGTGTTGCGAAAAGTTTGATTTTTCACAACGTTTAATGCAAGTTGTTGAAGATTCAATCTTTTGCAATGTTTTCTAAACGTTGCAAAATGATCTTTTTGCAATGTTTATATACTATTTTGAAAGGTTTCTTGTTTTGCAACGTTTACAAAAAAGTTGCAAAAGATTGAACCTTTAGCAACAATTGGAAAACAAAACGTTGCTAAAAGATAAATCTTTCGCAACAATAGGCAAGTGTTGCAAAAAGATCCTTTCACAACATATTATAAACGTTGCAAAAAATGAACATTTTTCAACATCTACTAGGGATGTACAAAAAAACCACGAAATCGCAAATCGAACCGATTGAGTTGAAACCATTGGTTCGAGTCCACGTGGACTCGTGGTTTCTTTTTCGTCACATCAAACCAAACTGTTTTAATGGTTTGATTTAGGTTTTGATTTTCAAAAACCACATAAAATCGAACCGAATCGTTTTTAAATTTTTTAATTAAAACATTAATTTTATTAACTCAAAAATTTTACAGTTTTTTCTTTATTTATAAAAAAAATACCAACTTAGTAATACAAATTATAACCAGCCTATTGAAATAATCAAAAAAAGTAAATTATGTTCATCATTATTGACCTATGATTTCATAGGTTCACAATACATGTCCTCACCCAATATTTAAAAAAAAAAAATCCCCTAGAGCACATCTCTAAGTGGTAAAAAGGGAGGGTGGAGAAATCCAGCTTTGCTCGAGACTGTCGCGTCAAGGGTTCAAATCCTGAAATATGGATTTGGCTCTTGAGTAAGTGCAAGTGTACAAGTAGCCTTCCACCCTGTACTCTTAGAGACATAACCTGCGATTTACCTCCCTCATGATGCTCCAGGGCAGGGGCGGTGGAGGACCTTTAAGGTTGGAGTTCAACATTTTTTTAAACTAAACTAAAATTATTCTAAAATCATATGAAATAAAAAAAAAACATATATTTTCAACAATCCAAATCATGATTCAACAAAACTGTGTTAGTAAATCACGTCCAAAACTTTATGAGCTCTAACTTAAACTCTCATTTTCCTAACATTTGATGTTTGTCTACCACTGTTGAACGAATCACCAATCGCCTTTGTCTGTTTCTGTTAGTCTACTAATCTCTCCCCGAGTCGTCTCTTTCTCTTTTCTCGTCTTAGATTCTTATTCAACTCATTTTCCCATTGTTCTTTCTTTTATTTGCTTTTTTAAACTTATTATATACTTGTAAGTTCTGGTTTGAATAGAAAAATGATTATTTGTGTTCCTAGTTGATTAATGAACTTGTTTGTGATTTGAAAAAAACGAAGGACGGAACATATTGATTGTGTGAAAATGTTAAAGTTCACTAACTAGTGTTACTACCTTCTACTTTCATAAAGTAGTTAGAGAATGAAGTTCGTCAATTTCTAATAAGTCAAAATCTTATTAATCTTTGTACATCTAAACATATCGCGTTCAATCCTTATTTAACATCTCACTAGCAACAGGCGCGGAGCCAGCACCCGGCGAGGGGGCGCGGCCGCGCGTGCTGGCTTCGCCGGAATCTGCAAATCCGCCGGGTAAGTAAGGTCTAAGGAGTTGCAGACTTGCGCCATTGGAGAAGATTGAAGAACAGAAGAACTCTGATTCTCTGAAGAAGGAAGATGAAGACGGAGCTGCTCAGCCGGGTTTTAAATTTTTTGGTTGGGTTTGGCCGTTGGGCTTAAGTATATTAAATTCTGGGCCGATTTTTAGTTAATTTATGAGGCCCAGGAGAGTATTAGCCAACCCATTAGTCCATAACCCATTTTATTTGGTTTTAACTTTCATTTTTCATTCCCAGGGCCAGCAGAAGACGAGTCAGTAGTCACGAGAGACAGCAGCAAGAAATTCTGAATTTCCCCCAAATTACCAAACCCTTTTCCTCAATCCTCACTTCTTCTTGCTCCAAATTCACACCACGAACTTCAGGTATCAGACTTTCGGACCGGTCAATGTCCGGTGAGTGATTACTCCTTCTTTCAATCTTTGTTATTATTATTTATTTTTTTTGGGTTTTGGTGTTGATGTGCGTAAAAATGCTAACAAATTTCAATTTTCAAGAATGGGAATTTGAAGAGTGCGTAAAAATGCTAACATATTTTGTTGGACTTAAAAATAAGTTTGTTTGAATTACATTATAATTTGTTATATCTTTCACACAGCTAAGCTAATAGACAGGATTTTATTTTCATAGAACAGAGGTTTTAGCTTTTAAATAGTGGGGACAGGACTTATGAGTTTAATTTTTTACATAAAAGAAATGCTCAACTTAAAGAAGAAAAACAATGAAACTCGTGTTTAAACATTTTACTATTAGATAATTTAGAATCTTAGATTACCTAATGGTAAAAAGAGGATGCACGTTACACCAATTTCAGTGTATTATTGAATTCTAAATATCAATACTATGTCTGTCATTATGCTTGGTAGTTGACTGGTCACTGGTGGCATATTGGAAGTTCTTCACCCATATTTTATCATTTTGACTCAAAGTTAGTTTTGGTATATTTTAGAATATAAGTACCTACATTCACTTCCGGTTCTAGAAAATAATGAAGAGTAGGAATGAATATTATCCATGTTGTACTATGGATGTTTGACAAAATAGCATACTTCGTGTTCCCTTAATTAAATTAATTAATGTAAATGAAGCTGGAAAATATTGAAAAAGAAGATGAATATGCCAATTGCCAAGAAAAAGGATTAAGAGATAATGATAGGTATATAAATTTGTGTAACAACTCACACTACCTTTTGGTCAGCCAGCCAAATCAACAAAGAATGTCCCATACTTATCTAGAGTCAGCTATGTTTTGGTAAATCACTTCTATATAAAAATCGGGGGTTCTTTTGTAATCATCATTTGCATTTGCATTCCAATTTTATACTATATACTGCCTCTTGCTCCACCTGATAATGATGTGCAGTGATTAAGTTCTTAATTTTCAGATTTCTTTTGCAATGTTTAATTCTTTCCAATATTATTGGTATTTTATTGATTAATTTAGCTAACAGTTAATGTGTGTTAATTTGTAATTCACGTCAATATGATTGTAGCTATTCCTATCTTTTCTCCAAGCATGTCTCAAATTTACATTTTATTGAAAAATAAAAAGAGTCCAGAGGTACTGATTCTTATTTGAGAATATTGGATCAAACCATGTCTTTTAGTTTCCCTTCTCATAAATTAGGTAATTTATGTGAATTTATGTTTACGAAATTGTATTTGCGAATTGTGATTTATGATGAGTAATTTATGATTTGATGAGGGAATATGATATTAGGAATGATTATT